GGGAGGCAGGTAAGAAAAAAATGGCAGCCGCGATAGCGGCTGAGTTTCAGAGAGCACAGTCTCTTTTTGGAACAGACCGGAATGCTTCTATCGACATCTTGCATTCAATAGGTAAATATAAATTGCACAGTGTGGTAGTATAAATAATAATTTGATACTAATGCATTGCAGCTATACAGCTCTTCGTCAGACCTGGAGCAACTGAGTTAGCTTAACTTAGCAGTTTAACGCTAAAACAAGCTAGTGCTGGCCGTCGCTTTATCCATGCTCGCACAGTGAGTCAGCAGCAGTGGGCTAGCCGGCTAGCAACGTACCGGCTAGCCTGGCATTTCAGGTCACGCTAGCTGCTGCGGGTCATTCATTTGACTGAAACGTGGGTGACAGCCGGATAGATAACATTAGCATGTAACCTGCGGTTTTAGCAGCTAGTTAACTAGCTGTCGTCTTAACAGAAGTCCGGCCAGCAAGGAAATTACTGTGAAACCGAGTTGGCTCATGTCTGTATACCATTTGGCGCTCTGTTTTGGTTATTAAAGCTTAACTAGCGGCATAGCTGTTATCATCGTTTATCGTTTAATCGAACCGTTCTGATATTTCTTAGTTTCGCTAGCCCTTTGGCTGTTTGCCATCTAACCCGGCCTATCAACGATAGACAGACAGGAAGGATGTAACTTCAGCATTTTCACTGTTTGCTTGTCGCAGTGATTCATGTCAGCACAGGTCAGATTTCATCATCATCATCATCATGTGTGTGTTGTAGTGAAGCGGGACATCCAGGAAAGCGATGAGGAAGCGGTGCGTGTTAAAGAGCAGAGCATCCTGGAGCTGGGTGGCCTGCTGGCCAAGACGGGACAGGCTGCAGGTAGCCGCAACATCACGTTCACATTTCAAGTCACACAAAGCGTTGTCATACTGTATATAACATTTTTTTTGAAGCCACATTAATAAGACTTATCCACATTATCGATGGCCTGACATTTATTTTGATCCAACTGGGTTGTTGACCTGCTAACACATCCAGGAATGTATTTTAGATTAGTTGTTTTCAGTGTGGGAGAGTTTCATATTTTAGAAATTACAGCTATGTGTTGTCATTTGTCTTGATAATGTTGTTAGATTGTGAATGCTGAGCAGCAGAGCACTAAAACGTGTTTTCAGTATGTTAACTGGTGAAGCAATCTGGATATCCTGATTAAAAAAGTCAGTGAAAACAGACATCGTTTTTCACATGTACATGAGAACTGGTTCAACAATAAAGAATTTGACAGAGTCATAACTGTATAAAAGTGTCTTTTAGTAGTAGCTTATTCAAGAAGTTACTTCTAGACTTAAGAATGTTTTTTTAATTTGTTCTTGTCAGCAAACCTGCTCTACATGTCTTTGTTCAGTTATGCATTCACCAATTCTGCACATGTTTAATCAGAAGATTCTGCTTCTTACTTATAGAACTGTCTGTCAAGTTAATACTGGATTAAGTCAGTTTCATACCTCAGCAGCTACATTTCTGCTGCTGATGCTACATTGGCCTATTTTGCCATCAGTATAGAATCGCAGTGCATTTATAATTGTATTAAAAAATTAGACAGTGGTAAGATTTATAAATATCTGTTTGCCTGTTAAGCAAACCAAAACATTGTGCAAGGGCAGTAATAGCTGGTGAAGGCTTGGACATCCTTTAGGAAGTTTGAATGTCCTTTGAATAAAAAGTTTGTTCCTGCCTCACATTTGGGGCAGTGTAAGATCTGTAATTTATCAAAGCAGCAAGAAAGTATGACCTTCCTCATTTTAGTGGCACTATACAGGCCCAGGCTCTGTTCAGACTCCTTGTATACAGACTCAGTCAGAACCCCTAATGTTCCATACTGAAATATAAAAGTGATATGTTGACTCCTCCTTACTCTTTGTCGTCTTTTCTTTTTTTCTCAGAGCTTGGTGGTCTGCTGAAATATGTGCGCCCCTTTCTCAACTCCATTTCCAAGGCCAAGGCAGCTCGGCTGGTCCGCTCCCTGCTAGACATGTTCCTGGACATGGAGGCCGCCACAGGTCAGGAGGTAGAGCTCTGCCTGGAGTGCATAGATTGGGCCAAGGCTGAGAAGAGGACCTTCCTCAGGCAGGCACTAGAGGTTAGACTTCGTGTGGCTGCAGGGCTTGTTTACATCAAGTGGTTTGTTCATTCTGTGGGGATCTTCTTTTTGGCTTGGTTTGGGTGAGCAAGAACAGGCTGTTCTGTGCAAGTCATAACTTTGTCCTGCAACCCAAAGAGACAGTCCACCTCAAGACTAAGATCGAATTATCTGGCAGCTGTCCAGATTAGCTAGCTCTGTGAAAAAACAATTTGCAGACACTAGCTGATCTGGTAGAATCTTCTTTATGCCACCAGTAGCACTATATGTCTGTTTAGCTAGCTGTCCAGAGGATTACATTGATGCAAAACTGGCATCTGCAGTAACAGTGCTAACACTGGCTTCAAACACTACTTCCCAGCCACATCAGAACAAAAGTCTGTGTGCTTTCTAATCGATACTCCAACCTTCTATGGGTATTGGTCCAGTGTATTGGCCTATTCATTTACAAATAGCATTCAGCTCATCCCAATCACGTAGATACAAAGAAGAAAAATATTATTAGACTAAATCTAGGTGTTGGTAAAACTATGTTGTTATGTTCAGTCTATTACCACATGTTTACTTTTTATGGCCCTGTCTCTAAACAATAAATGTACAAGCAAGTTATCCTCTCTCTTCAGGCTCGTCTCATCTCGCTGTATTTCGACACTAAGTGTTACCAGGAGGCAATACATCTAGGTCAGTGTTGAGTTCCTTGGAGTTGGTGTTTTTATTTTGCTTAATTTCAAAAATATTTAGATGGTAGAAACCTCATGTATTAAATATAGCAAATTATTTTAAAAGTAATACTTTAAGTGGAATTTATCACAAAAATGACATTTTTCCATGTGTTTTGACTTAAAACAGGCTCCCAGTTGCTGCAGGAGCTAAAGAAGATGGACGACAAGGCCCTGCTGGTGGAGGTTCAGCTGCTAGAGAGTAAGACGTACCACGCGCTCAGTAACCTGCCCAAGGCCCATGCTGCCCTTACCTCTGCCAGGACAACCGCGAACGCCATCTACTGCCCACCCAAACTACAAGCAGCTTTAGACATGCAGTCAGGTACAATATACATTGTACTACTTATGCAACACCTAAACCAGAGTTTACTAAAGAATCAAAACATGAATAGGTAAAAAAAAAAACAGTAATGTTGCAGGTTTGTGTTAAACATTGCACAATGCAATTAATCTGACACTTATGAGTGTAGCGACTTCTGGAAAGAAACTTAAAATGGGTCTTGTTTACTAATTGTCTGACATGCTATTAGAAAGCTCACTGAGTCTATAAAGAGTAGTTTTCATAACTTTTATTCCATAGAAAAATATTCTTCTGGTTATAACTATTAAATGGACAATGTCATCATAGCGATCAGCTATATGGCAACCCACTCACCCATTCTCATACTCTTTATCGTGCAAGCAAACAGATGCTCCTAATATCTGTGATAACAGTCACCTGTACCCATGTGACCTCTTTCAGTCACCATGACAACAGCAAAAAACATCAACAATATTGCCATAAAACACTCTGATTCATGCCTCCTACAGTGAGCATGTGTGTTTGGGTCTATTTCCAGGGATCATTCATGCAGCAGAGGAGAAAGACTGGAAGACAGCATACTCCTACTTCTATGAAGCCTTTGAGGGCTACGATTCTATTGACAGCCCCCGAGCCATCACAGCCCTGAAATACATGCTGCTCTGTAAAATCATGCTCAGCGCGTAAGTTGTACCCATGCAGATAGTATGCCTGATAAAATAATTTGACCATTCTATTAACCTTATTTCTGTAGCATTTAATAATAGAATATTAGTTTTTTATGTCATTGTTAGAGAGGCAAGAATCTGTTGGTTTGGCTTTTATCAGTGATGTTTGTTTTCTTTTCAGGCCGGAGGATGTCCAGGCTCTCATCAGTGGCAAGCTAGCTCTCCGGTATGCTGGCAGACAGGTATCACGCTTCATTCCTAAAAGTGTATAAACTTGGATTCTGATTTAAATTTAGACACATGGCACATGGCACAGGCTACAGCAAACAGTCAACATGCACGTAGGATCAGTACCTGCGTGAGAGGAAATAAATCCATACCAGCAGGTGGGGGTGTTTGTATTTGTCATTTTAAAAGTGAAAGAGGAAGGCCTACGACTGTGGACATGCAAACTGTAAACAAAGCAGCTTGTAGCTGTTTCTAATTGAGAGTATGTTTGATAAGAAGTTACAAATGACACTGGTGTTGTCAGTTCTTGGTCTTTTGGTTGTGGAAGAAGGAAGGAGGTCGCGGAGGTGAAAAATAAGGAGAAACTGCACTAAATGGGTAAAATCATGGATACTACAGCAACAGGCTGAAGGGCCTTTCACGAACCGTGCTAATCTCAACAGCCAATCAGAGTGGTCTCTCTCACTGTTCAAGGTCCACTGATGATACGCCATACTGAATTGGATGAAAATCCGCCACTGATGTTAACAGTGTGAGACCCACCAGGAAAACTAGATGGACAGTTTTTCACCGATGGCCGGCTGTCAGCTTGGCGTGTCACTGGCCTTAAAATTTAGGCTAACAGCTAGGTTCTGCTCTTTATTAGATGCACGATAGATCCAGCGGTGCCTGATTGCTTTCTGCCTGGGATGTGTTGCTTCAGTCTTTCAGTACAATATCATGTAGCCATCAAGTTTATGTTAAAGCCCTTTTACAGGGCTCTTGTTTTAAACATGTCATTTGGAGATATTCAAAATCAGCCTGAGAGCTAATGTTGCACATTAGTTAGCTATCCGTGGGGGCTAAAATCTACCAGCAACACTTCAGCCAACAAATGGATGGTTGTTGGCTGCTTCTGTCTGAATCACTTTTGTAATCTTTTGTTCATATTGTCCTCCTACACAGACAGACTCACTGAAATGTGTGGCACAAGCCAGCAAGAACCGGTCACTCGCAGACTTTGAACAGGTTTGTGTCTGGAGTTTGATGCTGTATGTTTGTTGTTTAGACTGTGGGTAAGTTATATGTTGCTTCAACAACATTAAGAATTAAACTGCGGTGATGTGAGTAGTGTTTCAGTGTTTTAGCCTCTTCGCTTGTTGTTAAAATGTCCTATTCCTGCCATCTCCAAGGCACTAACAGAGTACAAAGCCGAGCTGAGGGATGACCCCATCATTAGCACCCACCTGACTAAGCTGTATGACAACCTGCTAGAGCAGAACCTCATCAGGGTCATCGAACCTTTCTCCAGGGTCCAGGTAATCCTCTTCATATCTGTTTGCATTCAGCTACAGTTCGGACAGGTAGAGAACCGCATCCAGAATATGTGGAAGGTCCATGAAGACAAAGTATAGGCATAAATAAGAATAATAAGTGATCATACTAATATACCTATAGTATACTTATGTCTTTAACTGCTTGTCTGTCTTTAACAGATAGCACACATTTCCTCCCTCATCAAACTCCCTAAGGTAAGATTTAGCTTAGTTTATTCAGTATTTCACTTTGGTCATACATAAAATGCCTATTCCTAGTAGTTCTTCAGGTTTGTACAGTGAAATACCTACAGTCTGATTGTGCTGAACTTGCAGGGTGATGTGGAGAGGAAATTATCACAGATGATTCTGGATCAGAAGTTTCACGGTATGCAGCTCCGGTTGTTTTAGTAAACAAATGTGCTAGCCTGCAGATGGATCAGATTTACACTCCTGCTAAACTTAGTGTTTCAGTTTGCTGGAAAGATGGTTGATTTTCAGGTGTTGCAGTTGCTTTGTGCCATTTGAGTTCAGTATGATTTGTTCTTACCTGCTGAAGTAAACTAAGCAGTAGCCCTATGATGGGTTTCCTCCCTTATCGTCTGACCCCTTTCACACTGGCAGGTATTTTGGACCAAGGTGAAGGTGTGCTGATTGTCTTTGACGAGCCAGTGGTGGATAAGACGTACGAGGCGGCTCTGGAGACCATTCATAACATGAGCAAAGTGGTCGACTCGTTGTACAACAAAGCCAAGAAGCTAACATAAGGTCAGTCCCATTAGGATTGAGAGCGTTGCTGTTTGTGTGTTCATTCAGTAAAAATGAATTCATTAAACATGGTGTAGCACCATGAATATAACCTAGGAGACTAAGATAAAGTTTGGCCCATTTCAACATACACAGATGAAAACGTAAATGTATGATGACACTGAGGTTTGTGACATTGATATAACTGAATGTCCATACACTAATTTATTCAGTGCACAGAACATCTATTTCATGTCTGTCTGTCCAGAAAGTCTCAGTGTTGGTTGTCTCGCCTCTGCCTCTCCCCTCAGAGAGAGTGAACGCATCTGTCCTCCTGTCCAGAGTGATGTGGGCCAGTCAGACCGCTGTGGATCACTTACTTCAGCCCAGGAGGGATGAGGGGAAGAGGATGAGGAGACTACAGACACTCAGCAACCCAACAAACAAATATACCAGCTGACAACCCACAGACCAACAAACTGACTGTGGAGATGCCGCTGCTCTTGGTCCTCCTTTAGTCCTCTGCTCTCCCTTCCTCCTCTCACTGTCTCTTCCTTCCAGTCTGATCTGGGGTTGATCTGACACAAAAGTGCTTCTCCCTATGGACAAATCCAGGCACTGTGCGCCCCTCTTCTCCCACCACTGGTTTCTGTTGTACGTAACATTGGACGAGCCTTCCTTCCACCTTTTTTTCCCCTTCTGTTTCTCTCTGCACTGGCCATCAGGGAATCCTGTAAAATAACAATAAAGAATACATATACTACTTATACATACATATATTTTAAAAAAAAAAAAAACAGACAAAAACATGCTTGTTCTGCTCTCAGAGTGTAACCTGGGCTGGTTGGCACGTCCCTCACCGGATTCTACCTGTTCTTTTTGCCAACCGGACCTGAAACTGAATGTCTGTCTGAATGTTCTGATTTTCTGCGATTGTAAAGAATGGACCCCACAGTTAACTAGGCCACCTGGAGACCACCAGAACAACCCCCACCCCCCATATTGCCCCCTTCTCCCCTCACGTTTCACCCTGAGTGGTGTCCCTCGGGTACAAGGCATTCTGGGATTTGTGGATCATACAGGGAATTTGCTCTTCTGCCTACTTGGGACCATTTCACAAGGAGAGGAGTACATTCAGCTCTACCCTTGGGTATCCTTTACTCCCCTGCTCCGCCCACTCCCTGTTTGTATATAGCATTTTCCAAGCACCTCTGTTCATCCAAGGCCTGATGTATTCACGCTGCCCCCCCTTTTTTTGTTTTTTTAAATAAAGCTAAGAACAGAGTAAAGCTCACCACTCAGAGCTTGGTCAGTCCGAGTGCTTTTGATACTCAAGACATGACTGGAGACGTTCTGAGATGGTTGGTTGGAAAGAAAAGGGCAGGTTTTGCTGATGAAAATCAAGCTGTACATTTCTGGGAACTTGATTTTGTAAGGAGTTGAGGGTTTACCATATATGTCAGAAAAAGACAAATGCTAATAAAAAAATTTAAAGCTGCAGTTTGTGTGATTTAAGGATCAGAAAACGAAAATGAGTCCCATGGATTTACTCTTTAGTTTTTTTAAGTTTGTCTGTGCATGTAAATATGTAAACAAAAGAGTAGTTTCAGTAAGTAAAATTAGAACAAGTAGATTAATAGCAGCAGCTGATGCACAGTAAAGTTACATAGCTGAACATATGGAATAAATGGCTGACAGAACAACAGCCTGGGTTAATGTTTGACAGCTAAACCGATCAGCCATAACATTGACTAACTGTTACACTGGCACCTGTCAGCGTGTGGGGTATATTAGGCAGAAACTGAGCATTCAGTCCTCAAAGTTGATGTGTTAGAAGCAGGAAAAATGGGCAAGTGTAAGGATCTTTTATATATGTTTTTCACTGAATTGTAGACACATCTGTGCTCTTCCTGACAGTAGAACTGTGGAAGCAAATGGATTCACAGAAGATGCACAGTGAGCTGCAGAGTGACATGAGTGCCAACCAGCTGACTCCTGTGTAAACAGTATTAGGCAGGTGGTCATAATGTTATGGTTGATCGGTGTATAGCTCAAGGAGCTAATGGATATGGTTGAAATATGTTGTCCCTGAAGGGCTACTTTTTACTGGGTTGTTGGGAAGAATCCATGCATAACTATATACTGAAATGCTTTTAACTCTTGAGTCAGTTTTTATAACAGTTTAACGTATTTCCTTATTTCAATTAGATATATTCCTCCAAATTTCAGTTTTAAATTACTGCATATATGGAGGTTATGGGTCATCTGAAATCTCTTGAAAGCTCCTGTTCGAGTCTAATAAATGGCGCCATCTGGTGGTGACATTATGACTTAACTGAATTTAACTCGGCCACAAAGATGTTTCATCATCTGTTTTGTGTGTGCAAATTTATTGCTGTTATAACAGTTTGTACTTTGTTACAAGAAGGGTTCTCTCTTCCAAACGGAAACTGAAAACTGCAGAACAAAGCGCATTGAGAGTATGTGCAGCCAGGTTTTATTTCACTAAGATGTACTTAATGAAAGTTGTACTCTCTATATAATGTGCCCTATACCACTGGAGTGTTTTACGCACATACTGTTTACTGTAGGTTTAACTGTGGGCTGTTTCTATTCCCTGAGGCGTGGGAGAGGCCCGGGGCCCAAGTCAACACATGTAAAGAAGGAAAAGCCTATTTTAAAATAAGCCTTGATTAAATGTAAACAACTCCCAACGTGGGTCGACAACAGCACTTGGCTCCGTATCTGCATTTGAATGGGAGGCTGCACCGTAAAGCTAATGTGTAAACACTCCTTATCACAACACTCTTGTGCACAGTATGGTGGGTAAATCAGTATCTGCTCTGTGGACTATCTTGGCTGCTGTTAAGTCTTCAAGATGTGCTCAAGTAAATGACTTTGCAAGCTTGCCAACTGTTTGTGCGCCCTGGTGCAAGCCCGAGGAGAGGCTTACTGGAGGTTTCTGTGGGAAGAAAAAGGGAGCCAGACAGGCGACATTCAGTGCTGGCTTGGCCTCAGGGCAGAGGCAGGGAGCGAGCAGGCGGGCCAATGAGAAGGAGTCATCCACTCCCCTCTGTCCTGCCCGGCTTGGCTCAGCTCGGCGCACCCTGTAATTAGGAACTCTAGCTGGGTTGGGCGCCGCCGCGGTGGACAGCCTGGCTGCTGCGTCAAGGGAGTTTGGGTACACCAGCTCCAGACTGTTTCTAAATTCTCCTGGTTTCCAGTTTAGAGCAATCGCCCCTCTCTCCCCCTAAAATCCTGAAAATGAACGGGCAACCATCACCTGTCTTTGAGAAGAAACCTTCGCTCCCCGGTCCTGGGAACTCCACCTCGGCCATCAAGAATTCCTCGACCCTGCCGGAGTCCTCATCCACAGACATGGGCTTCTACAGCAGCCAGGGTGCGCTCCACGGCTCACAGGATCCCTACTCGCCGCAGCAGGCGTACTCAGCTCAACACATGAACCCTTACGCGTACCACCACTATAACTTGAACGGGATGGGTCCTGGCGGTGCCTACCCTGTTGGCAAAGCAGAATACCCGTACCCTCACGCAACATAC